CCTCTTCACTATCGGATGGAACGGCGAAAACTGGGGCGTTCACGGGACCCGGGACTCCTCTAGCACGGAGATACATCCGAAGCATCTTCGGGATCTCAGCAACGGAATCGAAGTTCCGCCACTCCCATTGAAAGGGATCACTCTCCAAAGCCCGTATCTTCCTCTCCACCCGAGCAATGCGAGCCTCGAGTGTTTGCCTTTTGAGGCCCAGCCGCTGCCTCTCTTCACATAAGCGACGGTGCTTGTCGGCGACCTAGCATAAAGATGAGTGAATAAAATGAAGCAAAAAGTTTTTGAGTCAAAAACTTTAAATATTTACCTTGTCGATGAAGTCGCAAGCCTCTTTCTTCTCCTTTGAAGGGAAGTGAAAGACGGCGTGAGGAAAGAGAACGCCGGCCGGTTCAAATCCGTCGCCGGACAAGAAAAGTGGGCTGCCGGGATTGATGGGGGCTACTCCTTCGTTTTCCATTCTTAAAGTATTTCTCAAGTAAGATTCTAAAGCCATGCTTAAATAAAGCTTAGAAGTATGTAAGCCTTTATTTATAATGATTTAGGGTTTGTCTTGGAACCATAAACCTAATAATGGTAGTGTGTCCGAGTGGTTTAAACCATTTTTGGAAATCGAGAAAAAAAAGCACTTTTTGCATTAAAGACGAGCCGTTTTCCTTACTTATAAGAAGGGAAAGCGCAACCGTCGCATTAACTACAAAAGTTTCTAAGGCCCAAGCCCAGTAAGTTTATCGAGTTGACTAAACCCGAAGTGGGGAACTCGCTTTAAGCCGAGCTCAGTTCTCGCATACTAAAGAGAAAGGTCTGATCAGCCTAAAAATCTCGAAAGCATTGCCACAAGGCCACAGAAGGTTAAAAAGCGGACTTTGCAAACCCGCATATAATTTTAACCAAACCCCCTTGGGTCACAACCTAGAAAGGTTTAAAAGCCTCCTCAGGCAAATATCTTGAAAAAATAATAAAGCCTCCTTAGGCCAAAAATAATAAAGCCTCCTTAGGCCAAAAATAAGTTCGAAATTAAGTCTTAAAATTAAAGGGACAATCCCCAATTTAAAGTGGACACAGCCACTACGGAGCAGCAGCCACCTCGGAATCCGGCTCAACAGTCGAAGCTTCATTCGCCTCCTTGGCAGCCGTTTGGTCAGATGAAACTCCTGATCCGCTCTCCACGGTGCAACCAACCTCCGGAGAGACTTCCGGTACCATAGGAACTACAGGCGGAACAACGTCTTCCACTTCACTTGAGCCTAGGAATAGTAATTCCAGTCAATCAAAGGTACAAGGTAAGAAAAGGCAATAAATATCAGGAGCCAAGCATTACATGCCCAGTCTAGACCTGATTCACTTATAGGAGGCGATTCAGTGAAGAATTCCTCGAAGTCCTGAGGGTTGAAGGTCGAAGTAGGAAGAGCTGCCAAGCGACTCCGCTTTTCAGAAAGATTAGCCGACAGTTCGGTTCTCTCTTGCTCCTCGGAGAAATCTGTATCATGGATTTGATCCAGCAGGATCAGGTTGCTCTCGTGCTCCTTGATGTCTGATTCCAAATCAGATCTAGCCTTCTCAGTCTGCATGAATCGGATGGCCCCTTGGATCAACTCCATCCCGCGTCCCTCGACCTCTTTTCTGGCTTTTGATGCCGACCTCGCCAACTCGGAGTCACGCAATTTGGCAATCGCCTTGTACTTCGCGTTAAGCTCGATGAGTTGGTTGTTCAGGGAATCAGCGTTCGATTCGGACTCTTGAAGCCTACCCTGAACACCAGAAAACTCTTCCTGGAGCTTGAAGTTCTGGTCATACTGACCCTGCAGCTCCCCCTTTATCTGCGCAAGCTCGGATGTTAAACTATCGACCTTGTCCTCCAGATCGTGCTTGGAGCCGGCTAGAAGAACTGTGTTCAGCCTCAAGGGCAGAGAGTTTCTTTTTCCACGTATCAATCTCCTTCTCTCGTCCAACGACCAACCCTTCGTAATGTTCGATCATGTCGTTAAATTCGCTATGAGCCTGGCATTATACATGAACCAGGGATGGTGAGTCGGTTCGCAGAATGGCAATGCAAAAAAAAAAAAAAAAAAAAAACGGAACTAACCCGAGATGAGTGATGCGCGTGAAGCAAATAGCGTTCACGAATCGCAGGGCGCCATTTGTCGAAGTCTGGCAGGATCGAGCCCGATCGGGTCTTGAAGCATCGGAAGACGCTGCCCTCTTTCTCCATAGCTGCGAAGAAGGAAGAGTTGTAAAAATTGGAATTTTAGTAAAGACAAAAAGTTGAAGTATGTAAATCACCAAACCTGAAAGCGATTTGACTTGAGGGACAAGAGCAGGTTTTAACCTCGAGGAAGCATCTCGAGATTCAGAATCTCCCTTTTTCGGAGACGCACTCCGGGCAGTCTTTCCACTATCAGGCTGGGAGGAGGAAGACATATCAACCGGACGTGGAGGACCCATTGGTTCAGGAGGAGGAGATGATCGAGGTGAGCGGTCAGTCCGGGCCCTCGACTTTTCCCTCCGCGGAGAAGAATCGCTGCGAGAGGACTTGTCTCTCTTCCGGCGAACCAAGTTCTTTATTGGTTCGTTACTAAAATCATCTCGGGGAGGACGAGGTGAATCACGGAGAGGAGATTGAACCCTCCGAGGAGAAAGTGAGTCGCGACGATCGCGACGAGGAGTTAATCTGAAGGAAGCAACAGATCGAGCTCCCTCGGTGCTGCCATCATCAACCAGCAAGGTTCTACTATAGTCCTTCTTGTCTATAGAAGTCGCGAGGAACTTTTTCTTCTCCTCGCAAGCCTCAGCCATCGGCTTGGAAAGCAACTTACGCTTGGCCGCAAGGGCCCGAGATGACATTCCCTGAGTTGAAGGAGGGGGAGGAATTTGATGAAGATGGCCAGGCGGACTCATCCTGAGTCTGTGGTTAGCTTCTAGGAATCGCTCAAGAGTGAAGGAATTCCAAAGGGTTTCCCCTTCAAGAATTATTTTGAAGAATTCGATGAACTCTTCAGATGGGAGATTGGAAGCGATGAAGGCTGCGAAATAAAACAACGGTGTTAGTCAATAAAGATAAAGAAACAACCGGGAAAGATACGGGCAACCTAATCACTACCGGGTTTCGCAGACCACTTCGAAGGGAGAAAATCTGCGAGATTTCCAATCGAAGCGGGAGTTTTCTTAATTAGAAACCAAGGATGATGCCAATTTTCATCCTTGTTCGGAAGATGTGAAATGATGTTCCTGTTGGCATTAGGATATGCTGAGAAATATCCCGTTTTCTTCGATGAACTTCTCACGCTCAGAAGCTCATTTAGTTCAGCAACTCCGATAACATAACCGGCCTCCGCCGCGATTGTAATAATTCCAAGAATAGTACGGAGAAGATTGGGGGTTAATTGAGGAAGAGCGATTTCAAGAGCCGCTAGGTATAGAACTAGGGCTTCGGGAAGAGGAAAGGTCAGCCCGCAACCCTTGAAATAAATCTCGTACACACAGAAGTAACCATCGCGATGGTTCTCTGGGGATTCTGTGGGGGAAGCTATTTGTGCTTCCGCCATAATTTCCGGTGGAATCCGGCAAAGCTCTTTCAACCGCTCGAGGGATTGAAGAGTACAAGTGGACCCATAATGCGGACCGGCAATATCATCAGAGCGGGTGCACTCGTCATTGCTAGAACGCCTCTCATCGAAAGACGGAGACTCGGGTCTATCGGAATCGGAAGCCATTGAGAAGAAAGAAAAATTCAAGATCCGGCGAAGAAGGGTTTTGGTGAAAGAACGAAGAGAGAGGTTTTTGATTAAAGTACAAAAGCAAAAAGAAGAGAGTAATGGTGAAAAGAAGTTACCTCAAGCTAATGATGAAACCGCCTCGGAAGTCGTGTGGGAAGTGGGAAGGTTTTTCCCGTTTTAATAGTAATTAATCAATATACGGTCATAATGATGACAGATGTCACTCGATTAAAAATGGCTAGTGCCGAAATTAAAGGAGTGATGAGATTTTCGGCGGGAAATCAGAAAGATTCTCGAGCGCAATCTTTGGCCACTTGAGCATTTAAAGTCCTCCGAATTGGAATAGCACTTCGAAGAACTTGGGGGGCTAATTGGTGTCGGATCCCGCACCAGAAGTACGAGACCAACCAAAGATTGCCACGTAATCAAGATAATGGCCCATAAAGGACGAAGCCCATCAGACCCATGAGCCGAAGGAACGGTCGAAGTGGTTGTCACCACTTCGAGAGTTCGAAGTGACTGCATGGTGACATGAGTTCGATGTAGAAGACACGGGTAAGACGGTTCAAGGACGCTTGGGCCGAAAAGGCGAGGCCCACGAAGATCAGAGTCAACTCAAATTCAAACGTTGAGCATTAAAATCAAGGAATCAAAACGGACACATTTAAGAAGAAATAATTGTACTTAATTGCTCATTTTAATGTCGTTTATCTATGTATAAATATAGAGGCCAATGGCCATGTAAAAGGGAGCTTCCTCTCAAGAGAGAAATACTATAGCAATTTTCGTATCAATTTATAAGTTTTTACATATTCATTTTTGTCCCTCAAGAATAATCTTTCCCACTTAACAAAATACTCTCATGTATGTCCTGCATACTCCGATGTATGCATGGCAATGGTTGAGAATGCCTTAACTCATTATCCAATTATATATGCTCTTTCTCTTTAACTTAGATTCAAATGCACACAAAATCTAATTGATCATATGATTTATGATTCATAAACTTCCTGGATATAAACCTTTAACTTGTAACCAAAAGGAACAGTAATCAAAGATCTGAGTTTCTTTAGTAACCCGATCGAGGAAGAAATCTATGTAACTTTTTTGTGTTATGGACTTGAAATTAGTTGCTAGACTGACCGAATTAGCAAGAAATACTGATAAGGTTTAACACTTAGTAGAAAATGTTTATTGTTTTGAGGCCCCAATAAGAGATTCAATGAAAATGATTCTGATCACAAGCCCACTGTTAAAAATTAGCCCTTCACGTTTCTCACGCGCTCGAGAGCTCTAGCAGTGAAGTGAAGTGAAGTCAAATCCCTAATATTATCTGCACGACGGAGAAGAAGTAGAAGTAGAAGAAATCGTCTCCATTAATCTCGACAATGTCGTCCCCAGAAAAGAAGAGGAAGTCGCCGACAAGGAAGACGAAGAAACGTTCGCTTACGCCGTCGCCGGAATCGACCTCAAATCCATCACTTCCAGATGATTTGGTAGTGAACATCTTAGCCCGCGTCTCGAGATCGTATCACCCAAATCTCTCCTTAGTCTGTAAAAGCTTCCGATCGATTCTTGCTTCACCGGAGCTTTACCAGACTCGAACCCTCTTAGGCAAAACCGAGACTTTTCTCTATGTGTGCTTACGCTTCCCTGATGAAGCTAATCCTCGCTGGTTCACTCTCTACCGGAAACCTAATCAAAACCTAACTAAGAAGAAGAAGAAGAAGAAGAAGAAAAAAGAGGATTCAAGTGTTAATCTTTTGGCTCCAACCCCAATTCTCAACTCTCCTCATGTAGAATGGGCAAGGCTCATTGCTGTTGGTTCTAATCTTTACGCCATTACCGCAGCCATCGAAGATTCTCCATGCTCTAATGTTTGGTACCTTGACTGTCGAACTCACACTTGGCTTGAAGCTCCAAGAATGCGAATTGCTCACACCAATAGTGAACTTGATAAGAATGTGTACTTAGCTGGAAGCTCTGAAAATCCATATTCTTTGAACTGTGTTGAAGTGTACAACACAAAGACTCAAACTTGGAATCCCGTGCCGCCCCAAAAACGGAAATTCAAGTTCGGAAATATGGAAGGAAAGATTTACATGAACCCTGTTCGAGAGAATCCTAGGAAGGTTGTGGCTCTAAAGCCAAAGGTTATGACATGGGAAGCGGTAGGATGGGATACGGATTTGGATCGGGGTTCTATTTGTATGATGGAGAACATAGCCTATTGTTATGACCCTAGTGAAAAGTTTAGTTGGATAAAATTTAACACTGACGAAGATTGGAGAAGATTAGAGGGTTTAGAAGGGCTACCTAAGTTTGCTAGATATAGTACTGTTAAATTAGCGGATTACGGTGGTAAGCTGGTTGTTTTTTGGGACAAGTATGTAGCTGCAACTGGTTATAAGGAGAAGATGATTTGGTGTGCAGAGATTTCGCTTGAAAAGCGCAACAGTGAAGAGATTTGGGGGAAGGTCGAGTGGTTCGATGCGGTGCTTACAGTCCCTAAGTCTTATAAATTCGTGTGTGCCAAATCTGCTACTGTTTGATAGGTTTGAACGTATTGAATCAGGTTAATATCTCTTTCTTGTTTTTAGTTTGTCATAAATGAAGGAATGTTTTGTGTTTTTAGCGTAATGCAATGGACATGTTTTTGCTTACCCGCTTGCTTTGTAGATGATTTAAGCTTGTTTTGTGAGTTTCTGTAAAGAAAGCATGTGATGAAATTAGCAGCAAAAATATACAAATTGTCGTTGCTTATGAATACCTGGAGTGACTTGGTTGTAGATGACTAAGCTTAAGTTTTTTACTGCCGGATTGATCCCAAATTCTTTATGCTACAGTTTGATGAATGACTAATGAGACTAGCGGGTAATGTCGTTTTGGTTCTGAGTTGTATGTGTTGCAAAATGTCTATATATATGTGACACTGTTTTCATTTCTAAACATATGCACTCACTTGTAGACTGATTAAGCTTACTTTATCTTTGAAAACACTTTTGCTTGCGTTGCATAGAAGAGTACAGTTCTCTTTACATTCACGAGAAGAGCTAAAACAAGATAGACATGCTTGTCTTTATTGTTCAGTCCATTGAGCTTCTGTTTTAGCTACTTCTTAACAATTTGAGGATCCTCTGTTTTAGCTACCTTTTCTTTTTTTTGACTTTTCAGTCGAAGAAGAGTAATCTTATTCAATTAACTCTAAGATTTTGTTAAATTATTAACTACTAAAACTATGGTTTTCGACTCGATTAAAGCGTTGAATCCAATTGTATTTATCACCAACACAAAAAACGGTCGACTCCAATTATACATTTTAGAAGCTCCTCCTGTAAGACCCTCTTATTGTAACAGAGAGTCACCGACTTGAATAACCTATTGCAACATACTCGTGGGCTTTACTTTTTCTTGGCTCGAGAGCCCTAATAACACACGCACATGATACATACAAAAGAAAAACCCTAATCCAATTGAAACAGAGGAAACTCGAGAAACAAAAGGACCGAGGAGAACGCAAACCCTATAAAAAACTCGAGAAGTAGAGAGATGAATTCTTTCACAGAGGATCTATGGTCAATCATACTAGCGCGATTACCACTAAAGAGCATCACAACTTCCAAACTGGTTTGCAAGCAGTGGAAATCGATCGTCGAGTCTCCATACTTCCGTAAGTCTCTGTACCAAAACTTGCATTCTTCTTCATGGTCGCTCCTTGTTTGGGATGATAAGAAAGACCTCGGTACAACTCTTTACGGATGCGAACCATCTATGGGCTCTTATATCTCGTCTTTCCTAAATAACAAGTTTGAGATTCAGAGACACAAATACGTGTATCTAATACGGGATTACACAGACGTTGGGTTGATTTTGATCAGTGAAGTGTCTAAGAAGCCATCTTTCCGTAACAGTACAGTGTATGTCGCTAATCCAGTTTCACAGGATTGTGTAAAACTCCCTTCTCATCTCATAGAACATGTTTATCCTTTGGGAATTGTCACACGAACGGAGAACGGCGTCGTTTTGGATTACAAAGTTGTTTTGCTT